AACTATATAATTATTATGCAAATGAATGTGATAATGCTGCTCGTGCTTCTGGCAATGTTAATCTCGCTATACAATATAGCACTTCTGCTACTGTGGATGATGAAGAAGGCCTTGATAGTTTTAATATTTTTTCTACATTTTCTAACACTCAAACCAGTAGCAGGAATATTGATGAATTTCAATTCTACTTGCAGAAGCAAAAGGAGCCTCACACAAAGGAATTTTCACCGTTGGGATGGTGGCATGAAAATGGAAAGCAATTTCCTGTTCTTTTCGCTATGGCTCGGGACGTGCTGAATGTGCCAATTTCTACTNGATATATTAACACATGGAAACCCATCCGAATTTAACACGCCAGAAGAAGGTCAATCGGTTCATATTGATTATGATGAACTTGTTAGGGCGATGCAAAACATTTGAAATTACTACTTTACTAGTTTACTTGTTGAAAAAAATATAAACATTTCATTTTGTAAGTTTGAAAGTTGAAACTTGAAATTAAGAAATAAAGTAGCACTTGCAATAAGTGTAATTTTTTCCCATCTTACTTGTATTCTTTTAATTAATACAAAGTATTAATATAACTTACAATAGTTATACAAAATTCCAAAAAAAAATTAAAAATACACTAAACCCGGCCCGACCCCCTCAACCCGTAACCCTTATGGTTCAATTTTTACCCGGATTAACCCAGCCCGCTAAACCCGTTACTGTACCAACCCGAAACCGGCCCGGCCCGAATCCCGGACGGGTCAAAAAATGGACCCGGTCCGGCCCGTTTAACAGCTTTAGTTATATCTCAATCGCAAAATAATTACGATCAATTATATGAACTTTTGCTGTCTAATTTAAGCTCATCTCAATTTGCTTAAGTTCTATTTTTATTTTATATCAAAAGAAAATAAAGTATGAAATATGAATGCATGTGTTTATGTCAAAAATTATTTTCCCAATAAGGAAACAAACAAATCCGTAAACTACTGGGCTTGCGTAAACTTACTCGTCTTTACCCATTTGTTAAAACGGAATCACCGAACCGCGTCTTCAAGCCTCTTAAAGACCCAAAACTTCTTACCGAACCTAAGGCTAGACCTATTTTACGTAATTAAAGAACGACATAAAGCTAAGAATGACCAAAATGGTCCTTCACGTTTATGGGTAGGTTTAAAATTACCCCCAAATATATTCATAAGCAAATTTGATCCTTTAAATTTACCAAACTTTGGTTGTTAATTGAACGAAAGTTGTGGAAAAAAAGATATAATGAAAAATAATATTTGAAGGTGCAATTTTAGTACTTTTCGCTATTTTCAATCTATATCTAGCATTTTTTTAAAGACTTGAAGAGTCTGTCAGACAATCATTAGATCATCTCAACGACCATGATTGGAGTTGATACTAGGGTTGTGCATGAATCAGATCGGATCGGATTTAACATATTTCGGATTAAAATTTTGGATTTTGGATCTTATAAAATGCAATCCGAATTCGATCTGAATTAACATCAGATTTTAAAGTTTGGATCGAATAAATATTTTGGATTGTCGGATCGAGTTGTACATTTTTTTAATGCCATTGCTAATCTATCCCCTAACACAACAATCTCCCTCCATCTTCTATGACCACGTATCTTTTCATCCATTCCGCACCAACAACAGAACAAAAATTTTCAACACAAAGCTTAGCAACACAAAAGGCAATTAGTGATCTCATGGTGCTAAAATGCAAGCATGACTTAGATTTTCATTTAGTAACAATTTTAGACCGCCTCATACCAAAAGATCTCTGCTGGAAAGTTAGGCAAATTGAATTCATAAGATTATTCGAGTCGATAACGGAAGAAGTGTCGTCTGATCGCCACTGGTAGTCGGAACATAAAGAAGAGAGGTGGAACAGAGCAGCATTCTCTCTAAAGAGAGCTTAGAGATAAAGAGATTCGATGAAATAAGACCTAAACCTAAAATTAAAGTATAGTATTTATACATATCCTAATAATTTTGGATTTTTGATCGGGTTAAAATTATACCAATCCGAATATCTAAAATTTTAAAAAACAAAATCCATATTCGAAATCTGAAATTCGAAAATTCGAATTGAGCGAATCGGTTCGGATACTCATATATCCTGTCCAAATTCACAACCCTAAATTGAGAAGAATAATTTACGGTACCATGACCCGAGGGTCGTGGGAGCTGTTAATCACACTCTAGTCCAATAGTTATGCATCATCAACCAGACTTGGTTTCCGGGTTCCTTAGAACTCAAGGATACAGTGGTACAAGCCTATAGAATATATCATGCNCCGTGACTTTTCTAGTATTTGTGATTGATTTTTTTAATTTATATTTTCTAGTATTAAAATTAATTGTCAAAGTTTGTTAAATATTTGATGGAGATAAAAAATGCTTACTTTTGACTAGGGATGACAATGGGGCAGTGTGGGTGCGGGTGCGGGTGCGGGACGGGTTTAAACATATGCGGGGTGGGGCGGGTTTATACATATGCGGGTGCGGGGCGGGGCGAGGCGGGTTAAACTAAAAAATATATTTATTTTTTTGCGGGTGCGGGTGTGACCGTGTGAGTTTAAATACTCATTTTTTACACAACTGAAAAGGAGTAAAAAATATTTAATCTTAACAAATCCATTCTCATACACTATAAATTAATATTCTTCCATTATGACAAAAACAATGAGGTCACTTGACGAATAATACAAATCTCTATCGTAACTATACGGAAACAGAGACTAAAAACTTGAACAAATAATAGAAAATGAAAAAATTACTCGCTACTTCTTATTGAAATAAATTAAGATGGTAAATTATTTATTCGGACTATGCATGTGTCCATGCTGATCACGCGTTCATTGATCGCAAAAATAAAATAAGACAAATTGAAAAGGAAAAAAAAAGTTGCGGAGCGGGGCGGGGTGGTGGATGCGGGTGTAGTACGAGGCAAGTGGACGCGGGTGTAGTGCGGGGCAGATGGATGAGGATTAAAAAAGCTATGCAGGGCGGGGCGGGTTGAAATTTTACGGGTTAAGAGAGAACCCGCGCCGCTCCGCTTGCCATCCCTACTTTTGACCCTAAAAGACCAAATTAAACCTACCGGTAAACATCGGGGACCATTTTAGTCATTGTCTCACTTAAAGCTGCTCCGAAGCTAAGGCTCGGACACTTAAGGGACAACCTGCCCTGATATTTTCTCCTAATTCTCTCTCCTCTTCAAAAGTTGATCCTCAACTCAGTATTTTCTGAGCTCTTTAGTTTTCTCTACAGGAAATTCTAGAATTTTCTTACAAAGAGAGACTCAAAGGTTTAAGATCTTCTCAATAACGCACTCTGTGCTGGTTTTTGTGTCAGAATTTAATGCGTGTTTAATAAGGCGTAATTAATTTACTGTTGTGATCAGATTACGGACGTTAATACTTAGGATTTAATTTTGATTGATTCATATAATCTCCAAGGAGATTGAGATAATCTTTGACCTGAGCCAGATTGTATAAAATTCGAGTTTGTTAAGCTGATTCAGTGAATTCGAACCACTGCAAGTGTTTCACTGTAAGATCTTGAACCCAAAAAAGGCAGAGATCTTGATTTTCATTGCTTGAATTTTGTTAATTCTCTTGATTTGGGAGCTGATTTTTTTCAATTTTTGTTCTTCTTTAGGTAATCTTTCTTTTGATCAGTAATGCTGGAATTTTTGTAATTTGGTATGGTTTCGTGATCTTCTTTATGATAATTGCTTTCGTTTCCTTAATCATGTTTTAATTAATAATTATAGTAAACTTCTTTTTAACTGTGTTTTTGCGGTTTTGATCCTATAGCTCAGTGACATACGCGGGTGGTTTGTGCTGTGTTTGACTTTCCTGCAGTAATGGCGCAGAGTAATTGGGAAGCAGATAAGATGTATGCAACTTCCTGTGGCTAGGTTCATTGTTTTTCTTAGTTAGCCCTACTGGTTAAGCAGAATCATATTTTTATCAATGATGATAAAAAGATTGTAAATTTTAGGGTTCAATTGCTCAACAAGAGCCAAG